TGACACAAGTATACTTCACATCAAGTGTCAACTTCCTGCACCATTACCGTCCGCACATCCACAGTAAAGTATGTGCGTATGTATGCGTCAAAATTTTAAAATGCTCAAAATCACTTTTTGACTAAATTAGAGCATGTTTTAGGTCATTTTGAGCATTTCGGAATTTTTCGTCCCGTGTGCGCATTTTTACGCGCGCGCACGTACAGAAGCAGGAATTATCGTTTTTTTTTTACATGTTTTAGGTTCCTGACACTGTATTCGCAAATTTCCAATCTTTTTCAGTCATTTAGGGTCAATAGCAATGCTGTACGCGCGCATAAAAGATACGAATCCATGTGCACGTTTTTGTCGACTTAGAGTGAAAATAGGCCAAAATCATGCCTATTTTCAATTGGTTATAGCTCCTTAGGATGATTGGCGACCCCCAATGTCTATTTCATGAATACTTACCTGGATAACCGACTAATTGCCAAGTTGTTCCCAAAACGGAACACCCCTTCGAAAAAAAATGGAACAGTCCGACCCAAGGCGCCACGTGCGAACCGTCTCCCTAACAAACGTCCTCATTCCCTTTTCGACGTTGTTCGAAGTCGGATACATCTAGCCTTTGAAAACTACGACTCTTCAAGCAATTCTTTGGATTTATTTTTGCCTTGGATTTCTTTTTGCCTTGGATTTATTTTCAACTTGTGGTTGACAAGATATCCTTTTTATTGTAGTCTCGATCGGCATGTCCGCTCGCAAGTCTTTGTGCTCGGCGTGTGGGGGCCCTAACCGAGTGTTAAGCAATTAGTCGGTTATCCAGGTAAGTATCTCACTCATAGACTACCAACATCACGATTGATCTGTGTATTTTACTATATATTCTGGAGCACATAAGTTGTAAATATGATTTTATAGGTCATAATGGCTGATCGGACATTATGACGTCATCATATTGCCATCTGAATTCAACAAACTGAATATTATCAATGACGTCATTTGAGCGTATCCTTGATTGATTTTCTCCAAACTTCGAGGAAGATTATAACTGAGACAATTCTCTTTAATAAATGTCACGACTTTTTACATTTTGATGACGTCATCATTTTTTACATAATTTTTTTATCTGACCATTAATCTTTCTTTCCTCAAATCATTGAAATCACCTATATCATCATAAATAATTGACATTTCTAAATCATATTCAATTGGCATAAAACTTCAAGTCAAGTATGAATGTAATGCGCGCAAATTTTTAGTGCGCACATCATAACATGCGTTTACGCATGCGTCGAAAATTTATTTTCAATCAGTTATAGCTCCTTAGAATGATCGGTAACACCCATTTTACATATTCTGAAAGCACATGAGTTGTAGATATGATTTTATAGATCATAATGGCTGATCGGAAATTGTGACGTCATCATTTTGCCCTCTGAATTTAAAAAACTTTTTACTTTAATTTCCTCATTTATGAACATATTTATTTAAGCGTATCTTTCTTATTGTTAGTCAATTGTTTCTCATCTTCCGAGTAAGTATTCTCTTTCGGAATCATGTCCTTCATTTTCATTTTGATGATGTCATCATGGTCAAAATGAATGATTTTTGGACCTCTTCATCTTCAATTATTGAGAAATAATATATTGGACAGACCAACAGAGGGCGGCAGACTGTATTTCGACGCTATCAGACTGATTATATAATTCATATGAAGGGAAAATTTGTATCGTTACGACAAACAGGTATCAAAATTTTGCGTAGATGACGTCCTTAAAAAGCTTGTTATGACTATTTCAGATGAAGCCAAATGTTCGTTGAAGTTGGCATGTGCGTAGCTCGCGGCAATTTTGAGATATTGTGCGAACAGAAATGGGGAAAAAGAAAGAAGAATAGGAAATAGAAGACTAGATTTGAACTCGTCACTGAGGATGAGTTAGTAAAATTAAATAATAAAATACAGGAAGATTAATACTGTCAATTGTTTGATTTATACTATTTCAGATAAAATAATCAAAGATTACTTGACAAAACAACAGAAAATATTGTATCAGGATGTGAATCTAATGACACCAGCAAATTGGCATAAACATCATGAAGTAGATATTGCAGAAGTATTCACTGAACTCAGCTTATTCAAGTCTGGAAAAGAAGGTGGAGCACAAAACAAGTCAACATGTATAAGGAAGAAAGGTGAACCCACATCATTAACGGAGGTATTACATATTATTAAATCAACAGCTTCATGTAAGGTATTAATAACAGGAAAAGGAGGAATGGGCAAGACTACACTCCTCAAATATATTACTTACAAATGGGCTACTGATGATGTACATAATGCCTTTGCTGGTAAATTGCTGTTTCTGTTCAATATTGGGGATATTAAAGCGGGTACAGATATCCTGGAAATAATTATGAAAAACATAAGTACGAAAGAATTAATTCTTCAGAACAATTTACCATCTGATTCAGTTGAAAGATTCCTGATGAACCATGCTGATGATATAGTGATTTTTTTAGATGGATATGATGAGTTGCATAGCGATGCAAAGGACCCTATATATCTGTTCAAAGGACTTGAATTGGAAAAAAGCACTGTGGTGATAACGTCCCGACCTGACAAAGCAATTGATTTGGTTAGATGTTGTACAGTTCATATTGAAGTGAATGGTTTCAGTTCAAGAAACATAAAGGAGTATATTCAAAATTATTTTTGTTCAACAAATAAATATGAATCGAGGGAATTACTATTGAAGGAGTTTAGATTTGATTTAGAGGATGAACGGAAGTGGGGTGGTAATCATAAAGTGGCATTTGGATTGTGCTCTTCCCCATTGTTACTGCTTATGATTTGTACCATATGGGAACAAAAAAAACATCTTCCAAAAGACTTGTCAGATCTTTTCACTGAACTGATTTGTTGCATTTTAAGTCAGTATGAAATCAAGAGGAATAAAGCTGCTATTTCCAACATTGAGAGGATTCCAGAGCCGTATAAACTTGCCATTCTACTATTAGGAGAATGTATGTATGAAGGCCTAAAGAAAAATAATTTGTCTATTGACAAATATATTTTATCAAACATGAAAAAGAATATAGTTTCTGTAAATTTAGCATTGGAACTTGGATTTGTTTATGAAGATAGCCCTTTTAACCCTGGTGATACAAGAAAGATTTACACACCCCCACACAAATTGATTTCAGAAGCACTAGCAGGGTTTTATTTGGCTAATCAAATTGAGAAAGAGCAATTGAAAGGTGATGAATATGAGGTGATAAGATGTAATAAAAATTTAAATATGACAAGAGAGTTTACAATAGGATTTCTAGGTGTTAAAGCTGGTGATTTGTTGAAGCATTGGTTAGTAAAGCCGTCAAAATTGTACTCAATAACACAATGTTTTGAATATATAAAGGAGGAAAATGAAAAATATGTACTAAGAAAATTAGATGAAAACATGTCCACTGAAATGAAATCATACTGTGAGGAAATGCACGAGACATTCAGAAGTGTTCTTGATGGTGATAGAAGTGAGCATATATTTAAACTTATGGGAAAATATTGCGTTAAATATAAACTTGAACATGACAAACTTCAACAGAAAGTGATGTCATTGATCGATACATCAGGTAAAGAGTCTCTTAGAAAATCATGCAGAAGTGTTCTATTTATGTCAGTTAAAGTACAAGAACTATATCATAATAGTAATGTATTTAGATTGAATGAAACCAATTTACTTAGGTGTATTTCAAATTGGGAAGATGAAAGGCTCAATGTACTTTCAGCTGAGATGAAATACCTCCAATTGAATTATAGCAGCACTGTTCTCACTTTTTACTGGCAGTTCAGTTCATCATTTTTTATTCATCTCCTGACACATTCAAATAAGCTATCTGTCTTATATATAAGAAACTGGCTTACTAAGGCTATACTCAGTGTAGTTACCAAAGAGTTACTCAAAACTGTGAATTTGACGTTAAAACAATTTTATATATATAACAGTGATCTACATGATATCGATGGAGCATTACTAGGAAAACTATTTAGAGTAGCTCCTGAACTAAATGGCCTAGAAGTAAGCAAATGTGGACTATCAAGTGATATTGTGAGGGCAATGATTACTGAATGTCACAAGAGTGGAGGTAAATTATGCAAACTTGTCATGAACCATAATAACTTTGATGATGCATTAATTGGTGATATACTTAAAGTGTATCCAAATATATCTACTCTTAAAATAGCTAGATGTGGCCTCACACAGGAATGTTTTAATAAAATGTTCAGTGAGGTACCTAAAATTAACATAGTTGAACTTGATTTCTCCGGAAATAATCTAAGGAATTTAGATGGAGAAATGTTTAGAACAATAATGAAAAAACTTCCCAAACTACATTTTTTTGCCATGGCGTTTTGCAACTTATCAGGCTGTATTGTTAATGAAATGATGAAGGAAGTATTGAAAGACAAAATGCTTAATTTGATTGGCAACAACCTTTCAGTTATTGACGGTAAATCACTTGCAAAGTTAGTCAGGGTAATTCATGAGGATGGTTTCTATGGTGAAACTTTCAATTGGAGTGATTATTCTCTTACAGCTGATAACCTAGAAAAACTGATTGAATCAGTAGGTGTAAATCAAACATTGAATTGGAAAAGGATAGTATTTTATCGTGTTAATCTTTCTTCAATCCGTTGTAAAACATTAGCTCGCCTTTTTAAAATCTCCCCAGACCTGATCGAAATTCAATTCCATGACTGCTCTTTAGACAGTACTGTTCATGAAATGCTGAAGGAATGTGATATGATGAAGGTAATATTAGACGGCAAACATGCTTAATTTGGAGGGCAATTTCTTTAATAGCCTGCAGATGCCTAATACCATCAGTTGCAGAGTTATTCAGAATTCGAGCAGATTTTTTTTTTAGCAGATGCTAGTTAGAGCGGAAGAAGATCCACTTGTGCGAACAACAACCTGTGCGAGTTATATACGAATTACTTCAAAATTTCCTATTTTTGAGCTAAAAATTTGACATTTTCAAAGGGGAAGGGGCACACAACAGTTCCAAAATACATAAGTGAGTAGCATAGCACAATTTCAAATATAATTTGAGCTAAAAAGTTGACATTTTCAAAGGGGAAGGGGGCACACAACAGTTCCAGAATAGATAAGTAAGTAGCATAACTCAATTACAAATATAATTTGCTTTTTTATGTATAATCAGGTGCTTGTTGAATAAGTTCTGTAGTAGAACCCCTTTTTTTGAACAGCCCTATTCAGCGGACAGGGGCCTTAAGCGAACACTTTCCTACTAAAAAAGTTGTTAAAACCACAGTCAATCCATGACATCTGTAAAGCAGATGTTAACACTTTGAGTGCGAAATTGTCAATACACCCCTTTAAAGCATTTTCTACACTATCAAATTTCATCAAAAAAGCGTCACATAAAATGTGGTGGAAAGTAGAGTTGAACACATTCAAATTTTTTTTTATACAATTTGATGACATGTGATATGATGTCATCATACCCATATATGGGCACATCACATTTTTTTGTCACATAAAAAGATAGTGTAGACATAGCTTTAAAGGTGTCACTACTCTCTTATCCACAACAAGTGCAACAAACTCAAATATTTAATTTACATTTTTATTTTGAATATTTTTTGAGCCCTTAAAATTAACCTAATTTTGTTGGATATCAGTATATATGTCCAGTGTGTGTTGGTTGGAATTATTCATTGCCTATATTGTTACTGTTACTTCTCTTCATGTGATATCAACCAATCTTGTCAATTTTATCCCTTACCTTAGCTATTTGAATGATGTTACTTTGATTTTTAAAAAAAAGTACATTCATAGAGGATTTGATTGATAACCTGAACCCTGATTTCTGTGTCATACTCTATTCATCTTCGACATCAAGTAGAATCCCAGCCCATCCTCCACCTCCCTGCTGGCACCACCACTGGTTGTTTTAATAACATTTCTATTAATTTTGTATCATAATAATGTATTATTTTCACAGTGAAGATTATTGTCCAAACTGTAAGTGACAAATAACTGTGATATTCCCTTATTTGGGTGTAATATGACATCATCATGCCCATATATGGCACATCACAGAGTTTCACATAAAAATTTATTAGTGAAAGGAACACTGTAATTTCCAAATATTTGGATGAATAAAGTGATGTCTATGTCTAGAGCTTAACAAATTAGTTGTGATTATTGTAAATCTCATCTTAAGGTGAATTTAACTAAAATTATACTGTATCTAATGTAGTGGTAATTGTTATTGTATTGTGGGTGGTGTTTCTGGAATTTGTTAAGAGTATGTTACTTGAATATTCAAATAAACAGTTAATTGTAAGAAGTCCATGGCACGTGTTATTTATTTGCATTTACCGTGTTTGCCATATTGTAATATTGTATGTCATCTACCTTAGTAAGTGGACGGGTACCACATTCAATAGTTTGCCACGTCCAGAAAGAGTCGCAACAAACAGCATTTCAGGAATTTACTGGTACTGGGTATTTATATGGCGCCTTTCTCTTGCGGTTATAAAGAGCAAGGCAAGGAATACAGTAGCAGGCTTAAAATTGGTCACCATTCAGGGACCCCATGCATTACAACAGTACAGTCTCGCAAACAAACTTGCCTTATTTTTTTAACTTGGTGCTTTTAATTTTGAATTGGCGCATTATATATCTCAGTTGTTAATAATTATGAAGATTCTTCAGGAATTCCAAAATGTGAACATTGTAGGACCTAGGAGTAGCGATCAATCACGGAAAGCATAGAATTTTAAAAGGAAGATGCTGTTAAATGAAATGATGAAGATGATGATGATGATAATTATATTTTTGTTACTTGTGTTATGGACAGTCCCTAATGTTCAGC